GATATTTCTTCCATTGATTTTTAGAGAGAGTGGAATGGAGGGTGGGAGGGGAGTGAGAAAGAGAGAAACATTGATTGGTTGCCTCCTACACATGCCCTGACTCGGGCTGGGGATAGAACCTGCAACCCAGGTACGTGTCCTTTACGGGGAATCGAACCTGTGACCCTTCAGTGAGTGGGCCAATGCTCTAACCACTGAGAAAAATGGCCGGGGAATAACCTACCATTATTTTTATTGTAAAAACTATTTTATAAATCATGGGTTAAAGATATCATATTGAGAAACCAAAGGATATAGAAAACCACAGCTGAAAGTAGAAGGGAAAAGTACAAATGTCTGCAAATCTGTACCAATATTATTGTTATCAGACTTAAAAATTGCATATAGTTGATTCCCATTCTAATAAAGCAAAAAGAATTGTCTCTAGGAATTCAAGATCAATTATCAAAATATGTATAGTGTCACATATATTGAATTGAATTGAATTTGGTTTGGTTAGGTATAATGGCATCATCCAGATGGTGCTATTGATGAAAAAGTGTCTTCATAAAGCAGCTTGCAACCTTCTTTCTTAATCTGTAATTATGAAATTAAACAGTAGAGATGTAAAAAAATATGATACAAGAATTCAAGTATCACTCAAAGAAGTTTTTGTTTGTATTTAGTGACAAAAAGGTAGTTAAATTTTGGCTTACATTTTACTACATATTTGGCACTGAAACATAATACATTAAAACTTTCATTTTATGTATTAACAAATGATGCTCTTCATTATTTAGTTATGTCACAGGAAAATTTTTGAGACATCTAGTCAAGATAAAAGAATAGGTAAATACTGCGCTCACATCCTCCAACAACCACTTTAGAATTACAGCTAAACTACAGAACAGTCATCATTGAGAACCACCTGAAGTCTAGCTGAACAGAAGGCCTATAACTAAGGCTATAAAGAAGCCACACTGAAACTGGTAGGAGTGGCAGAGAAGAGAATGGGCTGGTCCCACATCCATGTGTGGTGCTTAAAGATCAGGAGGAATATCTTGGCTGTGGAGGTCCCCCCTTGAGCCCACCCTGTGCTTCCCAGCCCAGGATTCCAGTGCTGGGAAGAAAAGTCTTCATAACTTCTGGCTGTGAAAACCAGAAGGGATTTCGGCTAAATGAGACAGAGAGCTTGTAGAGTCCCAAGCAATCCTCTTAAAGGGCCCATGCATGAAGTTACTTTCTGACAGACTCACTTGCTCTGAGCTCCAGCCCTAATAGCAGCAATTCAAAAACATAGGCACACCTAGAAAACTGAATTGTCTGGCTTCAGGGCAAGGGCTGGAGAGGAAGCTTTCTCCAGAACAGAGTGCTAGCAGAAGCCATTGTTTCATTGCTGAGCTCTGCCCCTGAATGTGTTGGTGATCACCTTATCTGAGTTTCTGTCAACTCAGCTAACACTGTTTGTCCCACCCTGGTGATTCCCTGAGACCCTGCCCCACCCAACTTGTGGGCCTACTCAAGCCATTTCCAGTGACTTTTCCACACAAATGGTCTGTCTTGGCTCAGGCTGTGGACTTTCCTAAAATCTCTCAAATGTTCACTAATCCCAAACAAGTAGCATCTGGCCTTAGCACACCCTGTACCTCTTGCTAAGCTGCCCCAACCCTGACATTAGTGGCAGCCAGCCTCAGTTCACAACTTAACATCTCCCCATCACATCCAAGCCCAGCATAAGCAGAAAACATCTGCAGATAGAGCACAATGTAGGTTATACCAGCTGGCCCCGGGCAGAGCAAAGGCAGAGGCTGATCTGGGCCTGCATAAGAGGCCCCAGACCTAACAAACCTAGTGGCCCAAAACACCTAGTGGCTAGCTTCAGACCACACCAGGGTACCATAAAACCATCTACACAGATGACACACCATAAGGGTGAACTTGGTAGGCACTAGAGCCCCACTAAAGTGAATCTTGGTCTGTGAGGTCAACCTCAGCACAACAGTTCCTCTGCTGTAATCATGACCAATCCTCATATTCAATCAGCTTGAGGATCAGTCCTTCCCACTGAGGTGCCAACAGCCATTAAGGCCCAACTACAATAGGAGGGCACATACAACCCATACAAAGGACACACCTGGAGCATCTGGTACAGGTGACCAGGGAGACTGTGACACTGGGACCACAAGACATCTACTACATAAGACCATACTACCAAGATTGATAGCTCTAGCAGCTCCACCTAATACATGGAAATAAATACAGGAAGAAGCCAACATAAAAAGGCAAAGAAACGTGTCTAAAATAAAATAACAGAACAAAGCTCCAGAAAAAGAACTAAACAAGCAATCTAACAGATACAGAGTTCAAAACATTGGTTATAAGGATGCTCAGTCATCTCAGTGAGAACATCAACAAAGAATGGAAAACAAAACAAGGACATGAGAAGTATAAAAAGGGATCAGTCAGAAATAATATAATAACTAGCATGAAGAATACATTAGAGAGAATCAACAGCAGAGGACTGAATCAGAGATTTGAGATTTGAAGCATAAGCTAGCATAAAAATCCAATCAGAACAGAAAAAAAAAAAATCCAAAAAATGAGGATAGTTTAAGGGGTCTCTGGATCAACACTAAGTGTACCAACATTTGCATCAGAGGGAAACCAGAAGGAGAAGATATATAGCAAGGAATTAAGAAAGTGAAAACTATTTTAAAAAATAGTGATGATGAACTTTCCTAACCTGATGAAGGAAACAGACATACAAGTCCAGAAAGATGAACCCAAAGAACATAATTAAAATACCAAAGGAGAGGATTTTAAAAACAGCAGGAGAAAGACAGTTACCTACAAGAAAGCTACCATAAGACTGTCAGCTGATTTCTCAACAATTTGCAGGCCAGAAGGGATTGGCAAGAAATACTGAAAGTGATAAAAAGCAGGGATGTACAATCAATATTACTCAACCCAGCAAGTCAATCATTTAGAATAGAAGGACAGATAAAGAATTTCCCAAACAAGAAGAGGCTAAGGGACATAACCACCAAACCAGTATTGCAAGAAATGTTTTTGAAAAGTAAGCTACTATGTTGTGAGGGTCACATATAACTATGACCTGAGCATAGCCTTGAAGAGCTTAGGCAGCCCTGGCTGGTTTGGCTCAGCAGTTAGAGTGTCAGCCTGCAGTCCACAGAGACCCAGGTTCGGTTCCTGCTAAGGGCATGTACCTTGGCTGCAGTTTGTCCCCGACCCAGTGCAGGTGGCGGCCACTCAGATGTGTCCCTTTCACGTCGATGTTTCTCTCTCTCTTTTCCTCTCTCTCCCTTCCACTCTATCTGAATAAAACAAATGGGAAAATGTCCTCGGGTAAGGATAAAAAAAAAAAAAAAAAAGAGCTTAGGCAATCCCTGGCCAACCGCAAGCAAGGAAGCAGGAAGCAGTTCTACAACCACAGGAATTTGCTTTGATCAATAAACATGAGTTTGAAGAGGACTCCCACACCTCAAATGATAATGTAGCTCGGCAGAAACTTTGCTTTCAGGCTTCTGAGGCCCCGAAAAGAGAATTTTGCCACTTCAAGACCAGGCTTTTGACAAACAGAAATGTGAGATAATAAATGGGTTTTGCGTTGAATACTAAGTTTGTAGTGGTTTGTTATGAAGCAATAGAAAATTCGTATTTTAGTAGTGGCTTTTTGTTTTTGCAATTTCTATCATTTCTTGTATAAAAGCAAATCATATGAAAGCTATTTTTGGGATTATAGATATTCCATTCCCCACAGAAATTATTTCATGAAATGAAGGTTCAACATTAAATTTTATGAAACTATGAAACGTAATTTATTTAAACAGTGAACAGATATTTCTGGGATGCTCTCCATTTGCTGGGTACTATTCTAGGTAGTGTGAAATATAGAAATGAACAAGAATGTAAATTCCCTGGCCACAAGGAACTTACATTTTCATATCAAAGAAAGATGTTTAAGATTTTTAAAAATACCAAACTAATGCAGGGGTAGGCAAAAGTAGGTTTACAGTTCTGAGTATGTGAAATAACATAGCTTATTCTTGTCTTATTTATGTATTTATTTGTATTATTATTTATTCATTATTTGTCCATACAAATAACTGTAAACCTACTTTGCCAAGCCCTATATGTGATAAAATTAGGTGGCATAATAAATTAAGTAAAGTGAAGTTAGACTATGGAGTGTGATGAGAAATTATTCTTTTAAATACATTGGCCCCTAGAAAGAGAATGTTTGGGCAGAGAAGCCCAGGGAAGAGAGGGAGCAGGGCCAGCACCCAGCTATCTGGGACGAGAAGATTTGAAGTAGAGGGAATAGCCAGTGGAAGGTCGGCGGAGGGACCTAGTTTGACACATTCCGGGGCAGTCAGTGTGATTTGAACAGAGTGTAAAGCAGACGACAATAAGAGTTAAGGGTGGAGAAGTGGTCAATGGCCAAACCATATAGGACTTAGATTCTGAGTCTTCGAGGATATTTTCTGTTTCTGAAACTTTCATCAAAACTCTTTGAAGACAGTCTTCGTTTCAATGTTTATCTCTTATAAAAACCTACTGAATTTATCTTAGAGTTTGGTGTATGAAGAAATTATTTTATGATAAGCTCTTTGAAACATTTCACAGTTCCCTGTGGTCCTGGCTGCCAGTAGACACCTAAGTTGGGCTTGAGCAAACTAACATTCCTCAGCTAAGGTTTTGATATAATCCATTGCTCCTCCTTCACCATTATTTTATTTATTTATTTATTTATTTATTTATTTATTTATTTATTTATTTTGTTTCATGCTACCATTGATTTTATGTTGTTTAAATACCTTTTGGAAGTAGGTATAATTTTTAAAAATATCAATGAAATCACCGCAATTGCCAATCAGAGAAATGCATTTCCTAAAACTATGATTTATATAAAATCCATTTGTTAAACAATTGTTTAGTATCTAGGGACTATGGATTAAATTAAATGAATAAATCCTCAATTTTTTTTTTTTTTTCCCCAGAGAGGTTAAATATGTGAAATAGGATAGAGTAAGTTTTAAAGGTACAGGGAAGTAAGGCCTCACATATAACACTATGGAAGGTCAATGCAGGAAAAGTTTCGCTGGCAATCTGAATTGAAGAAGACATCATGGAGAGGAACTGATTTCATTGAATCTTAAAGTAAGATTACTGTGGGCTGCTGAATATGGTAATGCTTGTTGTATACTGAACACAATAAAAGAATGCCACTAACATATATGTGATAATATTATATGATATATCTATGATATTTATACATGTATGTGTCCATATTATGACAGTTTTCTTATAGAGTGCAAAGTGTCTTGAGGAAGTGGTTTCATTCATTTGCATAAACTCACTAGTAAGCTTATAATAGCAATAACAGTCATTTCTGAATATGGAAGTAACAGTAATTTGCAAATATTAATTTTAATTCGAGTTGTCTGGGATGGAGATTGAACATGTTATAATTTTTAAAATCTTTCAGCACACACACCATTGTTAAAGATCAATGAATTTGGAAAGTATGGGTAACATTTCAATAGAAAGTAGAAAATTCTAATTTATAAAAAAATATTTTTCATTATAGTTGACATGCAGTGTTACATTAGTTTCAGGTGTACAAAATAGTGATTCAACATTTATATACTTTACATAGTGATCACCACAATGTCTAGTAACCATCTGTCACTGCACAATAATATTATAATATTATTGACTCTGTTCTCTATGATGTACATTACATCCTCATGATTTATTTTAAAACTGGAAGTTAGTACTTTTTTTCTTTGGTACATGCCCCTAGCAGGAACTGAACCTGGGACTCTCTGGTCCACAGGCCGATGCTCCAACCGCTGAGCCAAACCAGCCAGGGTAAAGTTAGTACTTTTTAATCCCCTTCTCATTATCTGCTCAACCCCCACCTCTCTCCCCCCTGGCAACCATCAGTTTATTCTCTTTATTTTTGAGTTCATTTCTGTTTCATTTTGTACATTCATTTGTTTCATTGTGTAGACTTCACATGTAAGTGAGATCATGTGGTATTTATCTTTTTCTGTGACTTATTTCACTAAACATAATATTCTAAGTTCCATCCATGTTGTGACAAATGGCAAGATTTTATTCTTTTCTACAACAGAGTAGTATTTTATTCTATATGTATATAAAATATCTTCATTATCCATTCATCTATTAATGAACACCTAGGTGCCTTCATATCTTGCCTATTACTAACAATGCTTTAGTTAACATAGAGATGCATATGTTTTTCACATTATTGTTCTGGTTTTCTTCAAATAAATACCCAGAAGTGAAATTTCTGGATTGACAGTAGTGCTATTTTTAAGTTTTTGAGGAATCTCTGTAGTAATTCCCATAGTAACTGCACAAATTTATAATCCCACTAACAGTGCACAAGAATTTCCTTTTCTCCACTTTGCCAACACTTGTTATTTTTTTGATAATAGCCATTCTGACAGGTGTAAGGTGATATCTTGTGATTTTGATTTGTATTTCCCAGATGATTAGTGATGTTGAGCATCTTTTCAGGTATCTGTTGGCCATCTGTATGTCTTCTTTGAAGAAATACTTATTCAGGTTCTCTATCCATTTTTAAATTGGATTATTTGTTTTGTTTTTTTCCTTTTCCATGTTGAGTTGTGTGGATTCTTTATATATTCTGGATATATCATTTGCTAATATCGTCTCCCATTTAGTGGGTTGCCTTTCATGTTGTTGATGGTTTCCTTTTCTGTGCAAATGGTTTTAATTTGATGTAGTTCTATTTGTATATTTTTACTTTTGTTGCCTTTGCCTGAGGAGACATACCAAAAAAAATTTGATTGCTAAGTCTGATGTTAAAGAGTTTACTGCCTTTGTTTTCTTCTAGGAGTTTTATGTTCCAGGTCTTGCATAAATACTTAAATAAATACTTAAATAAATACTTACATTTAAGTATTTAATCCATTTTTAATTTATTTCTGTATATGGCGGGAAAAAAGTGGTCTACTTTCATTTTTTGCATGTTATTTTCCAGTTTTTCCAATAGCAATTATTGAAGAGACTGTCTTTTCCACATTGTATGGTCTTGCCCGCATTGTCAGAGACTTACTTACCACATAAGTGTGGGTTTATTTCTGGGCTCTCTATTCTGTTCCATTTATCTATATGTCTGTTTTTTATGCCAGTATCAAACTGTTTTGATTACTATAGCTCTGTAGCATAGTTTTAAATCAGTGTATAATACCTCCAACTTTGTTTTTCTTTCTCAAGATTGCTTTGGCTACTTGGGGTCTTTTGTGGTTGCATATCAATTAGGGGGTCATTTGTTTCAATTCTAAAAAAAAAAAATCATTGATATTTTGATAGGAATTGCATTAAATCTGGACATTGCTTTTGGTAGTATGGACATTTTAATGATATTAACTTTTCTAATCCATGAACACAGTATATTCTTTTATTTATTTGTGTCTTCAGTTTCTTTCATCAATGTCTTATAGTTTTTAGAGTACAGATCTTTTTACATCCTTGGTTAAATTTATTTTTAGATATTTTATTCTTTTTGATAAAATTCTAAATAAGATTGGTTTCTTAATTTCTCTTTCTGAGGGTTTATTTGTTTATAGAAATACAACAGATTTTGAATATTATTTTTGTATCCTGTAATTTTGCTGAATTTATTAGCTCTAATAAATTGTTATTTGGTAGAATTTTTAGTTTCCTACATATAGTATTATGTTATGTGCAAATAGTGGCAATTTTTCTTCTTCCTTTTCAATTTAAATATCTTTTATTACTATTATTTATTTATTTTTTGTCTGATTGAAGCTAGACAATGAATGGGTCTGGGCTGCCTGTCACTACTTGAGCCAATTAAGCAGAGACAAGGTTGAATCGTATGTGAGCATTTATTCCAATATTGCCGGCAGAATGGAGAGCAGTAGGTCATCCTGTAAAATCTGCTCTGCCCCTCTCACTTGGCAGCTACTTTTATTTTTTTATTTATTTCATTTATTTATTTTTTAATCCTCACCTGAGGATATATTTTTCTATTTTTTTGTTCAGATAGAGTGGGAGGGAGAGAAAAGGGGAGGTGGGGGAGAGAAAGAGACATCGATGTGAAAGGGACACATCTAGTGGCTGGCTGCCTCCCACACAACCCCAATCAGGGCCTGGGACAAACTGCAACCAAGGTACATGCCCATAGTGGGAACCGAAACTGGGTGTCTCTGGACCACGGGCAAACACTCTAACCACTGAGACAAACTGGCCAGGACTTGGCAGCTACTTTTAAAGGGTAGAGAAGCAGTGACTATGGGAGAAAAGGCAGTTGGGCAAAAAGGGGAAAAAAAATGGGTAAATTGGTTATAGGCAAGGCGGGGAGGAATGTGGAATGGGGGTCTACAGGGGCTGGTCGCCAGTGAGTCACAGTCAGGAGTCCAGTGTTCTGATAATCATGTTGTTAATCTTTCCATGATGTCAGGTAGTCTGCTTGTCCTCAGATTAGAAGAATGGACAGCATTCCTGAGGTTAACTCCTGAGGTGTACACCTCCTAGCCACATCAGAATGGGCTTTTCTTTTTAAAATAGGTTTTTATTGATTTTTTAGAGAAAGAGGAAGGGAGAGAGATGGAAACATCAATGTGAAACAGAAACATTGACCTACTGTCTCCTGCATGCCCCCTACTGGGGATTGAGCCTGCAACCCAGGCACGTGCCCTGGCAGGAAATCAGACTGGGACCTCTCAGTCCATGGGGTGTCACTCAATCCATCGAGCCACACCACGGCCAAGAACAGGCTTTTCTTTAATCAGAACAAAGCAACAACAATTAATATTGCAAAGGATAAGTAACATTTCTTATAACTATGGCTATTATACCACTATGGTTAGCTCTCTAGTCTATTATTCTCTCCCACCTCTTTCATAATTGCTGAGGCTAGGACTTCCAAAACTGTGTTGAATAAGAATGATGAGAGTGGGCATCCTTGTCTTATTACTGGTCTTAGAGAAAACACTTTGAGCATTTCAACATTAAGTATAATATTAGATGTGTGTTTATCATGTATAACCCTTATTATGTTGAGGTATTTTCCTTCTATACCAATTTGTTGAGAGTTTTTATCATCAATGCATGTTGGATTTTAGCAAATCCCCTTTCTGCATCTATCGAGGTGAGCATATGATTTTTATCCTTCATTTTGTTTAGGTGATACACCATGATTTATTTGTGGATATTGAACAACACTTGAATCGCTGGAGGAAATCACACTTGATTATAATGTATGATCTTTTTAATGTATTGCTGAATTTGGTTTGCTAATATTTTTGTATCTATGTTCATCAAGGATATTGACTTGTAATTTTCTCTTTTTTGTAGTGTCTTTGTCTGGTTTTGGTATCAGGGTAATGATACTAAATGCTGGTCATGTAGAATTAGTTTGGAAGTATTCTCGCCTCCAGTTTTTTTTTGTTTGTTTGTTTTTTTTAATAGTTTGAAAAGGATAGGTATTAATTTTTCTTTGTTGATTGGTAGAATTCACCAGTAAAGTCTTCTGTACCTGGAATTTTGTTGGTTGGGAGTTTTTGGATTCCTGATTCAATTTTGTTTCTAGTAATCCATATGTTCAGATTTTCTGTTTCTTCCTGATTCAGTCTTAAAAAAGTATATATTTCTGGGATTTATCCATTTCTTTCAAGGTGTTCAATTTATTGGCATATAATTATTGAGAGGATTCTCTTATTTCTGTGGTATCAATGTTCAATATCTTCTTTTATTTATGATTTTATTTATTTGAGCACCCCAACCCCTCTTGTCTTTGCTGTTTGGCTAAAAAGGTTTATTTTGTTTGCCTTTTCAAAGAACCAGCTTTTACTTATGTTAATCTTTTATATAGATTTTATAATCTCCATTTTATTTCTCCGATTTTTATTATTTATTTTCTACTACTCACTTTGGACTTTGTTTTTTCTTCTTTTTCTAGTTTCTTTGGTATAAGGTTATACTGTTTGAGATTTTCCTTATTTCTTAAGGTAGGCCTGTATTGCTAAGAGGACCTCTTAGAACTGCTTTTGCTATGTACTAAAGATTTTGAATTATTGTGTTTGATGTTCATTTGTCACGAGAAATGTTTTCATTTCTGTTTTTTAAATTTTAATTTT